CAGGAAGTTACCCCGCAAAGCCAAACTCCTTCATAGCATTAGACAGCCAGTTCAGAGTCTCTGCCTGGTTTTTGGGATTTTTCTGGGAAAAAGCCATAGAAACAACCTGACAAAGAAAAATCATAAGTCATTAATACTGTGCATTCTCAGTTCAATTTTATTAACAACAGTTGTATCAAGGCGCTGTTGCTACAGTAGTATCTGTTGATGTTTCTGTCATTTTCTGCACATATAAAAAGACCTTTTCAATCTTTAACAATCCAGAAAAATTGATCCTTACCTGTTCTGCAGTCCATGGCAGTGAGCAGGCCTCTCCAATAGCAGTCAGTCCTTCTTTAGCATTTCCACCACACTTGACATCTCCAACCTTGTCCACCAAGCCATCCAAAACAACAGAGGCTGAGGTCTTGGAAAATTGTCCCCTTTGAGCAATGAGAGCCACAATCCGCAGTTTCAACTGCATCACCTGAACAAGAAAAGGGTAAGTAATCAGACATGGCTGACCTGTCCTATAACAGTTGCTTTATTTTGCCATTTACACACTGGCTTTCAAAGAATGCCAATGGTTTTAAGTGCAGTGCCAAAACTTTGGTTCCCTCTACAGCAGCTTTTCATTGACATTTTTTTTTTAAATTTTCATCAAATCATTCAGTAAAATTTGTATAGGAGCACTGTCAACTGGAAGAGACACTCCCATTAGTTAATTGTGCAATGTAGTTGTTGATTGTTGAGCAGGTGTTAATGATGTTTCATTAACATCATCTTGTCAATGATTACCTGGAAGTTCGTCTCCTTCCACCCTGGTTTCTTGGCCAACATCCTGACTAAGGCCTGGCAGGGCATTGCAGCTTTATCCATTGTCTCAACAGCCTAGAAGGATACACAAATTTAATGAAAAATGCCAGTTATTTGCAATCACTGCTGGATAGTATGAGTCAATCAGCTTTTGTTCTGTGATGAAGTTGTTTATGACACAGCTGATGAGGACAGAACAGGAAGACTTTACCCTCTGGAACTCCTCCATACTGGCCAGTCTGTCCTTCCAGTTGGCCGAGTCCAGCTGTTCAAGACAGGAGGCAGGAAGTACACCTGCAGCCAAGTCCTGACACACCTCAGCCTGATATAACAACACACAAGCACACAATAAGAAATTCCAAAGCAATAGCCTGATAATGTTGTATCCCACAGGGATAAAATATTACTATGATAACATGAGTTAATGCTGCTGGGCACTCTTTGTCAGTAGTGAGGACTGGATACTGAAAGGATTAACTAAGATAACCAACTTTAAGACAATATTCATATAATCCCAAGTGAAAACATGGAGTTGTTTTAGTTACTTTAATCATCAGCTGTTTAAATCTGTTATTTTCAACTGTGCTTACTAGCATGTTTTACAGTACAGTAGGCTGTTGCATTCATATCATTGTCTTTGTTTTTAAGTTGTAAAGCCTGGCAAGAAATAAAGTATGTGGGAATGTAAAGTCTTGCGTTGTGTGTACATTTCATTGGGCACCGTCAACTGTGCACTGTAGTAGGATAGTACAAGTATATACACATTTTTTCCCCCTGCTGATGGCTTAAAGACTTTCTACAGCTCTGTCCAGCTTTCTTAGAATAGCTGCCTCTCTTTTCAATGAGTTTCACACTGGACTGGGAGACAGCAAATGTTCTAGCAATGGCATGTATTGATATGCCAGACATTTGTTGCAGAGGACCAGCATGCAGTCAAGTAATGACTTACTGAAAGTTCAGACTCAGTGAATTCTTTACTGTCGGAGGACTTCTTGGATTTGGCACCAGCTGCAGAGGTTGGCTTCCCTTTCTTAGGTGGCACTGCTGACACCTGGATAAAGTTTCAAGTAGAACTATAGACCGGTAAAGACGCCAACCATCCTATTTATCACTAACAAAGCTGATATACAATAAGGCAACAATATTTCTCCTTCGACTAATTTGACTTTTCTGTACATGCATTGCTCCCAGCACACCTTATTAGCAGAAGTCTGGCTCTTCGATGGAACAGAGGATTTGGATACAGATTCAGCAGGGACGACGGCTTTAGCTGCACATTTCTTCTCAACTGTGCCGCCTCCTCCTGCACCCTTCCTACCTCCTGAGAGCTCCACATTATCAGCACACTCCTTAATCTGCAACAAAAACAAAGTGAGCAGTTCATGACAACGAAATTTTATTTTAACTTTTAAGGTCTGAATTCACATCTTCCTGATCCTCACCTTATCCAATTTAAGTTTATCCAAGTCAGCCAGGAAAGGGTTCACAGCTTTCTCTCCCACCACTTTCATGGCAGTCCCCAGAGCTTCAAAGGCAGCATCACGGACCTCTGGGGCAGAGTCATTTACTTGCTGTGAGGAAAACATAGGTATACTTAGAATTAGTTAGCTAGACCTGACGTGCCTTTTCAAATTTTTCATTCCATATTTAGTGGTGACTAGATCAAAATTCAATAGGCGATACAAATTTTGGTGTCTGTTAAGTTACATACAGGTGAAATATATTGAACATAAAACAAATGCAAACATAGAACTTAACATCACTGTATCTGTGAATGTTACAGCAAACATTTGTTAAGGAGGTGTCCGAGTTCATACAGATGTACACAAACAGGGCTGCAACGATCCTCAACATTATCGATGACGTCGACTATACAAATTCATCGAATTTTATTGTCATATACTAATACCATGTACATGTATTTTTGTAACAGCAATACACTTCAGGAAACTATGGGGG